TCATAGATAGTAAAGTCAGGAGCCAGAAAGCCATCGTCCTCTCATCAGGGGAGAGCGAATTCATGGCATTGGTTGCAGGCTGCTCGGAGGGCATGTTGGTGAGGCACCTGTGGAACAAGATCACAGGAGGAGAATGCCAGATGAAGGCGAGGGCTCCACAGATTGCTCTGCGTACTCAAGTTGTACTACCAAGTCGCAAGTTCTCATCTTCCAGCTCCCCAGCTACTCTGCGTACTAGAGTTGTACTACAAAGTCGCCAGTGCTCATCTTCCAGCTCCCCAAATACTCCGCGTACTCAAGTTGTACTACCAAGTCGCCAGTTCTCATCTTCCCACTCCCCAGCTACTCCGCGTACTACAGTTGTACTACCAAGTCGCCAGTTCTCATCTTCCAGCTCCCCGGCTACTCCGCGTACTACAGTTGTACTACAAAGTCGCCAGTTCTCAGCTTCCAGCTCCACAGATTGCTCCGCGTGCTAAAGTTGTACTACAAAGTCGCCAGTTCTCAGCTTCCAGCTCCCCAGCTACTCCGCGTACTAAAGGTGTATTAAATAAGTCGCCTGCATTTCGCGCACTCGACACGCACAGTCTCCGCAAAGGGTTGCGCGCGCATACAGACTCAATCGCACTCTCGCCTGCATTTCGCGCACTCGACACGCGCGATCTCCGCACGCAGAGGGGCGAATCGCGCTCTCGCCTGCATTTCGCGCACTCGACACGCACAGTCTCCGCAGAGGGTTGCGCGCGCACCGGACAAATCGCACTCTCGCCTGCATTTCGTGCGCTCGACGCGCGCAATCTGGGCAGAGGGTTGCGCGCGCACCGGACAAATCGCACTCTCGCCTGCATTTCGCGCGCTCGACACGCACGATCTCCGCAGAGGGTTGCGCGCGCACCGGACGAATCGCACTCTCGCCTGCATTTCGCGCACTCGACACGCACGATCTCCGCAGAGGGTTGCGCGCACAGCCGGCAAATCGCACTCTCGCTTGCATTTCGCGCACTCGACACGCACGATCTCCGCAGAGGGTTGCATTTTCGGTCGACGCTGTTCGTCCCACCCTCCGCCTTTAAGAGAGAATTTATAAAGTGGGGAAATGTTTTTCATTAGGACATCTCCCGTGCTAGTTTTCCACGCTAGCATAGTCATTGCATGCTTGCATGCTCATCACTGGACTTGCATACTTTGACACTTGCATACTTTGCACTTGGATGCTTTCGCTCTTCCAGTGTGCGTGTGTGTAAGTGTAAGTGTCGAAGTGTAAGTGTCGAAGTGTCAGTGTTCAAGGGATTTTCCGGAAGAACCCTTCGCAATGCTTTCGGGAAAAAACGAAAAAAAACAAAACACGCATAAGAGAAAAGAACATAAAAGAAATTATTTGTTTGTTTTTTTCGCTGTTTGTTCGCTTCTTTTATTGTTTTTTCGCTTTTTGCTTGTTCATTGCATTTGTTCTTCAAGGAAGCGCCTGTTCGACATGGGAGTTTTTGCCCACGGCGATCCTGGAAGCTCGCAGGCTCGAGGACTTCAAAGAAGAAGAGAAGAAGAGTAGCTTGTCATGCATCTTTTGGATGTATTTTGGAGACGAAGCCTCGCGTTTGGAGACAATTATTAGTTATAAACGAAAAACATGGACTGCACACACATGACATGAGTGTATTTTTGTTCGCTTTTGTGTTCGCTTTTTGCTTTTCAGTTAGCTCTTTGTTTGCTTTTTGGATTCGCTTTTTTTGTTGCTTTTGCTAATCGTCTGAGGCCATGGAAGACACAATGGACGAGTCTGAAAGTGAAGGGGATCAGCGAAAACACTGGCGATGCTCCCACTTTGAAGCATGTTTTGGCTACCCTTGCAGCCCTGAGAGAGGTTGCCCCGTGTGTTCTATGGACCACGGACAGTCATCGAAAGCCCGGATCAACCAGGTCACCGATGGCGGCGTGCTCCACACAGATGTTTGAGTACGATTCTCTAAAAGATTCCTGACAAGGAAGGCTTGCATGCTGAGATCCAGAGCGCCATGGATGAATGGCGATTTCAGCAGAAATTGACTGTCAGAATGATGAAAGATCTCAAAGATGTCGAAGTCTGCGGTCCTGTGACCGAAGCTGCTGAAGCCCTAGATCCCACTTGGGAGGCGATCGATCTGGATCCGACGCAGCTCGATCCTGAGGAAGTTCTACTGGAGACCGTCAAAGATGAAGATAAAGTGCAGCTGAAATCAGAAGAGCTCTTCGAGGATTATTCGCCTGACCCTGTGGAGCTCGAGATTTTTCACCGAGTCATGGACACCGAAGATGAAGCCGACGAGGGTTCTGCCGCACAGGCGGTCATGGGCGAGCGAACTCACGCAGCCAGCGCCGAATACTCAGGCTTCTCAAGAAAGACTGCTACTCTCAGAGAACCGTGGCCGTTTGGGGAAGCGGTTCGCACGATCGCAGATGGCGTTATGCTCCACACAGATGTCCGAGTACGATTCCCCGCTCCCCCCTCCGGACATATCCACGGAAGAGCTAAAGAGAGTTTGGACAAAATTCCTGATAAGGAATGGGAGAACACCTTCCGACACAATGTCAGACCCACTGGCCACAGGAAGACCTTTCAGAAGACATTGGGACTTGTGGTCGGTGCCCACTGCAGAGGCATACCAATGCCTACAATGGCATATCGCGTTCGCACGCTGTCCATGAAGGTCCTACAATATGCAGAGCGACTACGGGTCGACCTCCATGCAACAACAATCCAGTTGACAAAGGACCTGATGATGAAACCTCATAAGGATATCAACAACAAAGGGCCAAGTTGCATTTTCGGACTGGGAAAATGGAGACATTGAGGGCATTGGGAAGTCTGGTGAAACGCTGCAAGGCGTCAAGCTGGACATCCACAACCTGCAGAAGTTCGATGGACACCGGGCGCACTGCACATTGCCTTTTGTAGGCGGACGGGCCGACGGTACGCCATTGTGCTGTTTGGTTTGGGAAGATCGTACGACGAAACTCCACAGGAACCCATGCAGCGCAATTTTGAAGCTTTTGCAAGCATGGCAGCTCAAGGACTGCAAGTTGAGGACGAAGGGCGCCATGCTCCCCCCGCCGGTCGCAGGCCTGACCGAAGAGCATCAGCCTCCTGGCTGGGCATCCAGTGGCATCCAGGCCAAAGCGATCTCAGGCAGCGAGCCCAGAAGTACCTGAGTTTCCAGAGTTGACACCAGAGCAGGTGGAAACTCTACGGTCCATGAAGGAGAACAAAAAGGCTAAGTATGCCTGGGCAGTTGTTGCCAGCAGAGTGAAAATGAATGTGCCTGCTGCCAAGAAGAAGTGGGAAGAAATTCGTTCCTGACATGGGGGTTGGGGTGCCAGCTCATAGTGAGACTGGTGCGGCAGCTGCAGCGGTTTCCGAGATCCCACAGACGCTCCCTCTCCCCAGGGAAGTCACGCGCGAAGGGATACATCAGATGGCTTCGAAGATAGGTGCGGAACCTGTGACAAAAAGGAACAGAACAAGAACTCTGCCATAGAGAGATTCGTAGATGCTTGCGAACTGCGATGGTTGAGGTTGGCCGGACAGCTCAGCGGCCAGAGGGATGACCCAGCGGCAAGGCATAGGCAGAGTCAGGCGCTTAGACGCCTCAATGCTGTGGATACAGCAGAAAGAGCGAGAAAAGGTCCTGACAGCGCAGCAATTCCAACACGCCTCAACAGTGCCGACATCGGCACCAAGAACTTGCCGAAGAAGAGGTTGAGAGGCGTACAGTTCATGCTGCACATGGTGGACGCCGTGGGTGACCGCGTAGGTGAGCAGGAGTTCCGGGAGATCGAAGAGCAGCGTCGAATGAAGCAGGGAATGAAGAAGTTTGGAAAGAGCAAGGATCTACGGATCGGGCTCTTGATGCTGCTGGCCACGATCAACAAAGTCGATAGCACTTCGACTGAAGTGAAAGAAACCGAAGAGGAGACCACATGGACATGGTTGATGCTATGCACATTTGCTTGCATTGGGGCCTTGAGCCTGATCAACTGGCTTCGGAACTACATCAACGAGTTCCTCGAGGGCACGAAGGCCTTCATCAAGGAGACCGTGAAGGCCATGCCCCGGATCAATGTGATCGGCATCAGTGTACAGGTTGAAAGGGCAGACAAAGAAACTCAAGTGTCAGTGCCCAATGCTCGACTTGAGAAGGAATTGGAGGAAGCAACAAATGAATGTTTCCTCAAAGGCCTGTACATAGAGGAACTCGAACAAGGTTTGGAAAAGGTGAAAGTGTACCTGAAAGAATTTTTTAAAGAGAGGGAGATTGCAGAAAAGTACAGCAAAAAGCTCGAAGAACGACTTCATAGCTTGAAGATGACCCAAAGTGGACGGGTCCTGCACTTCTCCCCGACATGTCAGCGTTTTGCTGCAGCACAAAATGTGCGGTTGTGCCACACTTGCCTAACAGAAGGGGGAGTGTCAGAAACCCACAGAGGTGCAATCAGTTAGGCTCGTGAGGCATGACCATAGGTACACGCACGATGGCCGTATAGGCCCAAATCCTTGAGGAGAAAAGCGCACCGCGCCGTTTCACTATCAATATATGTGCCCTGTGTTCTGCCAATTCGTTTTTCAGGGTGGGAACCGCTCGAAAGTTTAAACATGAGAGACTCTGAAGACTGAGCCAAAGTTCAGCCCAACTGTATGTGTGTCGCGCCATGTCCCGGGCTGCAAAGAAAATTAGGCAACCTGCGAACAATGGGAACACGTCACAATGTTTTGATCACATGCCTCTAATTCAAACCAAGGGATCCTCGTTGACCACCCAGGTGAACCTACCAAGGACAGAATGTTCCAGGCTGAAATCGGCTGAAAGGTAAGTTGCGACTCGAACATGGTTCCAAGGGCCTAAAGTTTTCAAAGCTCGTAGTTCCAGGTCCCAAGCAAAGAATTGCGGGCAGGTGGTTTGAAAGATCCGGCCCCATCAGGTAACAATCAGCAAATTCCTTGCCTGAAACCCGCATTCCTCACTCAGGGACCGCGGCCAAGCGCAGCACGGCGTGCCCCTCCCACCAGAGGCCAAACTTCCAAGCTGAGGGGTGTGGAACTCAACACATAAGCATAGCCCAGTGATGCGCAACAGGCGTTTTACGACGATGGCTGCATCGGGTGCGTCAATGCGGGCCTCTTGCGTCGTAAGCCAAGTAACACTGTCAGGAGTTGCGTTCTCCAAGTTTTTTTTGGCAAAGATCAAGAACATCCGGTACCCATTTTCCAGGTTTCGATCCACCTGCGAACAGTTCAGCCAGGAGGCCTTTTGAGCTGGCAGCAGGTTACATATCTGGCTGAGAGGGAAGTCAAAGGATGCAGATTGGAGGCCTACCACCTGTAGAGAAAGCTTTAGCAGCCCACGTGACATTGTCGATGGTGTGGAAATTGGAGATTGCTGCCAAAGCACCTCCAACTGCTAATGATTGCCACCCACCTAGATGCGAGGGCCTCATCGTATGAGATCGTCCAGAGTTCTGACAGTACAGCATTTGGTTCGTTAAAACTTGTGGAACCGCAACCGGACGCTTCGGGCCCAACGTTTTTAGCGAATTTCCAACGAAAAGTTTCTGACAAAAAGATTTGACAATGGTCCATCGCCAGGGCTTTGGTCAAAAATATGCTGGAGCAGGCGTGGGGACCGGGAGTTGTAACAATTTCCTGGCAGTGTGAGATGACAAAATAGGTGAAACAGCGCATGGGGAAGAAGAGCGCACATGAACGCAAACACTGACCCAGTTGGGCCTCTTATGAGTTGTATGCATGGCACCAAGCAGCCATTCAACATCAACGCATGATGGCGCAATTTCATGCAGATCCATTAGGCGCAAAAAAGGGGACACACATCACACACACACACACACATCCGGTCTTTGCGCATCATCGGAGTCAGACCAGTTCTGCAGCTCACACAATCCCACTGGGACTCGTCAAAATTACAATCCTTGCCATGACGATCCCTGCACGATCTCGCAGGAGTAGGCACGGGATCCTGTGAAATGCTGTGAAGGTGTAGTCACTCTACTCCTTTGTGAGTTACAGGCTGCTTTTGGCGCTGATTCTTGGACTCCTAGCACGGCCGTGTTTCCTCGCAAGACGAGGCATAGATGGGTGAGGGTGGAGTGCTGTGTCCTTATCAGTTCAACATGCATCAACCATATCAACCTACATCATCAACCACTATCGTGACTAAGTTGGAGACGGCAAACGGTCGTTGTTTTCGTGGTTTTCCTTGTCATCCAAAACATGTTTGCCAAACGCCCAAGTGTGTGTTTTGCCCAGGCTTGCTTGTTGCTGCCACCGCAACGATCTCCCAGCCTGTGCACGCGATCTCTGGAGGTGGGAAAGACTATGCTTCGAGCACATTGACGCAATCCTTCAAAGGTGGGGCCCACATGACACTCATGTCACTGCTTGCCTTAGTATGCTTTAGTAACTTTGGATTGTTTCGTGTCAGCCAAGTGGAACATAAGAAAGCAGACACTTGCCACATGTTGAGAACGCGGAAGGTGGGAATTATGACAAGAAGGATTTCTCTGGCTGCGTCGCCAACAATTTGGACTTTACAGAATCCACCTTCCGAGGTTGTCGCTTCTACAAGGTGGGAGGAGTGACAGAAACAATCCAAGTATTATTTTCGGTGGGGGGGGTTCAACCTCCAGATGTCTAAAGCATTGAAAGGGGCGAGTTTGGCATTGACGGGCGACGCGACAGGCAGATCTGGGAGGGTCCAACTTCGAAAAGTCTGACCTGACGGGTGCATCCTTGGAGGGTGCAAACTTGGACGATGTGAACTTTGATGGGGCCACTTGCTGAGTTTCAAACACTTAAAACTTCATGCATGTTAAGCGTCCAGATATTTTCCCGAGGAGGCATCGAGGGTAGGATCAAACTCACCGCTGGTTTTGTCGTGTTTTGTTGAAGCTTTTCGCGGTTGACTTATTGCTGGAAGGGTGCAAAAACACGGACTCCCAGTTGTAGTCAGTTGATGTGTTCGAACTTGTTCCATAGTCGCATGCAATGTGACTCTTTTTCCAAGGCCAATTTGGAGGGAGCGTACTTCACCAACACCATCCTCCAGGCGAAGAGCCTCAAAGGTGCACTTTTCACCGAAGCGCTGCTGCCAGCTGATGCGGTCCAGAAGCTTTGCGAAAGGCCTGATGTGAAACTTGCCTGCACCCACAGGCCCCGTTGCAAGGCTGCTTAGGGGGAAGCTCCGAGGAAGTTAGGAGCCTACATAGTCTAGAGATGTCTAGAGGCTCTTGAAGAGTTTGGAGTGAAAGGTGATAGCTGCAAAACATTCCAGGTGAAGAGACGTGAAAAGCTAAGGCAAGCAAGCGAAGCCACGCGTGAGTCAATTCCATGTCCGTGACGGCGCTCTGAAGAAGCAAGTCAGCTCGGAGCTGCTTGAATTATGCAAAAAGTAGGGGGCAAGGGACTTGCTGCTTGCATGCACGTCCCTTGTTTAGGCTTCATGAGGCTGCAACTGCCAGCCAGCTAAAAGACTGACGATGTATTCCAGGATGAACATCTTTGAGTTGGAGGGTGCCGGCTTGCTTTCGATCGAAGATACTGAAGTCTTTGTGCGATTTGGAGGGGGTGATGATGGTGATCATGATCATGATCATGATGATGATGACGATGATCATGATGAAATTGTATTGGATGTGTAATCAATTGCGTAATTGACGTAATTATTGACAATGCTAGATTCATCCTACTTGCACTTTATTCTCAAAGATGCCTCAACACTTGGAGCGGTTCCCTCGATTGTCGCTTGAAGTATGCTGGATTTGCGCAATCCGCTTTTATCCTTAATGTGAGAATAACGGATCACGTCAAGTCTGACAACCCTTCCACTTGTCGGGAGGTAAAAGCTCTTAGCAAGAGTGACGAGTCCTACCTGCCAGAGCAGTAAGGAGCTTGGTATCAGACTGGTCGGAGGAACGACCAGAGACGACAACATGTGGGTGTCATGCTGGACAATATGTCAGGAACGCTCCAGTAAACATGTGGCAGTTCATGGGCAAGTTGCTATCTGTTACACATCCCCGGTCAGTTCTATGAGCACGATTAATAGTCCGCATCGCTGTGTGGCGCTTGTTTTCCAAAACTTGCAGGTATTTCATGGTGAAGGAGCTGAATGGCTGGCATCACATAGCAGTTGCATGGAACTGCGAGGCGCGGAATTGTGGGCTGCAAGACCCAGTACTCGTCAAAGTCAAAGAGTAGATCAGTAGATCCCTTGCGCATCCGGATGTGAAACAGTGCCGACCTTTGCCCAGGACACGTCCTAGCTCATACTTCCATTTTCAAGTAAACTTCCACTACTACTTGAGGCATTGATGTTCCGCCTGTTTTTCCAACGGTGCAAGACGCTTTTTGCGGTAGATCAGGTACAAGAACAGAAAAAGTCACAGAGAGAGAGAGAGAGAGAGAACTTTGTGGGAACCATGTGGCTTGAGGTGAATCCGGAGTGGTTCATTCAGTGTCCTGGATTTCTCAATTTAGTGTCCTGGTTGTGCTTCTCTTGCCGGGAATTTCCAGCTCCCATCAACAAATCCAAGGTATGGACGCGGCAAACGCCGCGCCCATTCTGTCCTCAAAGCAGAAATGCACGATGACTGGTGGAAGCTTGGAGGTACCGAGGACAGCATTCTGTGCATCAAGGGTTGGATTTGTTCCTGTGTCAAAGGGGCACCTTGGGTCCGCGTGGGCGTGGGCAGATGGCTAGGAGGAGCTTCGGAAGAATGTCCACATGCACCCGCCTCACTAAAAGAACAGATAACAAGTGGCAGCGAGCTTGCAAGCTCAAGTTGCCACTCATAGCAGACTCAGGTTTCACTTCAGTGGACAATGGCTGCAGCCCTGGTGGTACATTCACCTCGATCCAGAAGACGCCATGAAGGTTATCAAGAAGCACTACGCTTGCAGGGACAAGCGGGGCAGCTCACTTAGGATGTGACGGGCTGACGTGGCCAGGTGTCAATCTTGAGTGAGGGAATGATCACGGAAGGCCCACCCAATGATCCCCATTACCCAGTCCTACAAGTTCCCCGATCCATGTGTGGGGATCATTTATGATCATTCCCCCATTCCACTGCTGGCACCAGCTAAGCAGCTTGACCGGAGCCAAGACCTTCTTCTACATCACAACGCGCACGCGCGCGTGATGCGCACTGCTGGTCCGAATGCCCAAGGCATGATCGCCCTGGCGGTGGGTGACTGGCTCAGAGGGATTCAGGACAGCTTTTTTGAAGTCAGCACCTGGCTGTAGGTCTTCTATTTAGACAGGATCTAGTCACTAGTCAGTGGGACGATGACCTGACTGTGCTCAGGTTGTTTGACTGATTTTGTGTGTGTTGCTGATTTGGTTTTGTTGCAGTCATGATGACTTTGATTTTGCGGACCTTGCTTTGATGCAGGAATTGCAGAAGAGCGATGAGTACAGCGCAGAGCAGGCTCGAGTGATTGGCATTGATGGGCTATGCTGATGCCACCATGATGTAGGGCACATATGTATATATATTTATATTATATAATATTATATATATAGAGATGGATACCGATAATTGATAATTGCGGACAACTCTTGCTGAAGGAACCGAACCCATGCCATGCAGCACCTAGCCTCAAAGATATCCACGCTTCGTGAATCAAGGCTGTTTTTCAAGAAATTATCGATGAGCTCAAGCACAAAGCACGGCGCTGGTGGGTATTGACCTCATTTGCTGTGACTCTGCGAAGCGTGGACAACCCCTGCACACTGTACCGACCGTCAGTTGAGACGCAGCACCTAGGAGGAGGTCTCGTTGTGCAAACTCTGCAAGAACCCCAAGGCCGCCCGACTTCACCGGGACCTTTGCGTGCGAACTTGCTCTTGTAAACTGCACTTGAGATGTTGCGATTCCCAGATTTTAGGAGGAGGGCGAGGACCTTTGTGAAGAATGCGAAGTCCAATCGCTGCGGCCTCAGAATCATTCACAATGTTCAGTTCTTTTGCCAGCCACTGCATTCCTCCCAGATGATTGCTGTTGTTACTGACCTGACCTAGATGAGCGAGACGCAGTTCTGTTTAGCAGTGGATGAACATGGAAGGGAGAGGGCGCGAATTCCCAAATGACAAACGTACAAAAACTGGGCCTCAGGAACGTGCCTTAAGTAACTGCCTACCATGTCCTGTTACGGCAAATATTTTTGTGATCTGTTTCCGTACTGTTTTGTTGTGTTTCTTTTCTTTGGGAGTGTTGTAGAAGGAAGAGGGACAGGGAGACGAAGACGGAGAGAGGGAGGGAGGGAGGGACTGACAGAGGAAGAGACGGAGAGAGGGACGGAGAAGGAATAACGATAATGCGAAGGAGTCGAGTTTTACTTCGCGTGTCACTTCTTTAGGGTCTTGGAGCTTGTATACATCTGGGTTTTGAAAAGGGTACGACTTATATATATATATATTTATAAACGGTTGTTGATTCCACAGTTCTACGTTGTTTCAATTTGGTCGCTTCTTTCTTGTGACTAGGGATTTGCTCTCCACACGATTCACTACAAAGGCACAAAGATGACAAGGAGAATGGCCATGCAGGCACATGTGCACGTGAGAAACACAATGTTCTTGATGAAATTTAATGTCCTGTTGCATCAGGCCTGCCTTTCAAAAAATGCAGCTTCGCTTAGCGGGTTTTGATGGTTTGAGAGAAGCTCAATCACTCAACCACCAATCAGCGGAATGTTGTCAGACTACGGCTGAGGCCAAGTCAGTCAAAAGAAGCGGTCAAGCCCGCTGGGGAAGAAAGAAGAGAAGCCCGAAGAAGTTTGTGCCTGTGGCTGCGGTCGTTCGGAGACATACTGTAGCAACTGTCGAAGGGGCTTTTAGGGTAGGGATGTTTCCTGGCCCCCACACTCCCAAGCTAAGGGGCCCCTCACACAACACCAAAACGCTGTCGTGGGGTGGGGTGGCCTCACGGAACCTTGCTTTCTTGAAGCTTGGTTTGATGTATGCCAAATCAAGAAGGAGCGCTTGCATGTTGACATTGGCACAAGGACTCGGGAGGTTGAAGAAGAATCAGCACCAGCTGAAAGCCGCGGAGTTCGCAGAAAACACGAGAAAACACAAGAAAGTCGAGAGTGAGGGCAGAAAGGATTGCTGAAAACAGTTGAGCCTTTGGAAACCCGTTGGGAAACAGGTGTTTTTCTCCGTTCTGTTGCTGAAACCATTTCCAAGGCATGCTTCTGCTTCACACCATGGTGGCGAAAGGAATGGATTTCGATCGAATGGTGCTAAGTGCTATATTGTGGCGAGGATAGTTTGGCCAGACTGCGTTGTTGGGAAGGGGTCGTCCCCACTTTCCGTGAGCAAGCAGGCCATGTTTAGAGAAAAAATATTCTGTAAAACTCTTGTAACCAATGATGTTGAATTGCTGCACTATCCTGGCATTGATTGGGCACCAAAGCCCACTTGCCTGGGCCAACGCCAATGATCGTAATTATATATTTTGCAAATTTCCGGGCCGGACATGCACCCAGCGCCATGCAAAGCATGCGGGGGCTTGCAAAGGCAGCTTGCAAAAGTTCCTCGCCCCAACAGCAAAAATTGCGGCGACGGTGGATGTGGTGTTCACATGTTTTTACATGTGCGTTTTCGATCCAAACCCTTCAGTTGAGCCAATCCGGGCATGTTTTGTTCCATGTGTCTTTTGTGATTTGTGGTTTTGCTCAAAGATCCTGACTTTGTCAAAAGCTCCTTTGTAGGGAGGCTGGCGAGGATCTCAGTTTCCAGGTCATAGATCATAGGTACTGTACAAGGTTCCTTGTCATCACCAGCTTCCCAGGTGATGGCGGCCTTGCTCTCAAGTAGAAAGGAGTGTCCAAACTGGTCCCTATGTTTCGGAGTTTCTTCTTCAGGTCTTGAACGTCCAAATCATCTCCATCCTGGTGGCACTGCTCCATCCAGTGGCATGTGGGCAGTGTAGCCGGGAGCCAAGCGCCACCATTCGACCGCCAAGCCAATATTGGAGCATGTCTTGTTTCATCTTGTTTCCAGGTGGTGCAGAGTGTGCGGCAGTGGATGCCGCAAACGATGCACGCCATTCCTTGCTGCAAACAGCTACGGCTGATCATGTACATAGGCAGCTTGCTGAAGGGAAATGCGTTGAACTTGTTGACACTGACATCATTTAGAGAGGCCAGACAGCGCCGTCGCCTGTTCCGAATCACAAATGGTATTCATGACCGTCCTACGAGGCCTGTCGCACCTGCAGCAGCACATTCAGAAGATCTGAAAGAGGCATCCCAAGCTTTGTTCAAACAGCAACCTCTCGGCCAAATGAGTTGAAATTGATCTCTAAGGTGGTCAAAAGCACCGCGCCACACGCAAACCTCCAGATCAGCACGAGCGCCTCGCACGTGTCCAACTCCAGCAAGGCACGTGCACAGTGTGTGCAAGATAACATGGACCGGCAACTTCGTGGAAACACATTAGTACAGAATCGCATTATATGGAGACTCCGCTTTTGAGGCCTGTGGGTGCCTTGTACAACAATGGTCATCCGCAATTTTTACAATTGGGGTGCTCTCTTTTGCCACATGGTCCCATTTATGTTCTTTCGAAGCTGAGGAAACTGACTGGTGGAAGCTGTGCTCTCACCGGCATTTGTGATGACAGCCGCAGTGCGGAGTGTGACCGTACGCAGGGATCCATGACATGGGGTCAATGTGTTGCCGGCTTAGCGACCCACGATCACATCACTCAACCACCGGTTCCGGTGACTTCCCTGGCATCAAGGTTTGCCCTCAATTCACATGTGCATCCGAAGGCTGGAGAACCGGGACGGCCCCAAAAAATCAGAGCCAGTCACCTCGAGACACTGAGAGCTTCTTGGGAGAGCTTCTTCGGTTGCAGGCAAATGCAGCTGGTCTGCTTCCGAGATCCGTGATGCTGTCGGCAGCGGCGCCGACAACGTGGTTGCTAAAGCTCAAACCTTGGTTTGTTAGCTTTTTGTTACTAGTAGTAAGAATGCTCCTAGTAGCGAGCCAGGAGACCCTAGTAGCTTCTTGTTACTAGTAGTAAGACTGCTCCTAGTAGCGATGTCAGGAGCCCCTAGTAGCTTCTTGTTCCTAG